AGAAAACAGCAAACCTGAAACCAGGTATTTTACCTTAGAGCAGAAGTGCCGTGTTCCTGTGACTTGGAACACTTCACAGGAAAGTGTCTCTTTCAACATAATGAATACACCTCCCTCATGGGGAATGAGACTGTTGCTTAGGAAACAACAGAAAAGGCAGCATTCCCCAGAATAAGCAGCAGTGCGAGAGGAGTCTCATAACCTGAATGGCAAGAAAGGAGAGCAGAGTAACCTCCCCTGTCACGGTGGTGTTTCTACAAGAAAATGAGAGCTTGGGTCCTGACACAAGAAGCCAAAGACAGTTTTGGTATCTGACGCTGGTGTTCAGATGTTTATGTAAGATATAGCTAAAGATTTCTTTAAGAAAGTGTGTCATTATTTTGGTCAGAAGGAGGAATTCATGAAAGAAAAATGTATTTGGCAAGTAAGCGGAAAGATCATTACCTGCTGCTGCAATCTGTAGAGAAAACACTGGAAGAATTATTACAGTTAGTTCTAATAGTTTAGAAACGTAAATCGAAACCTTGACTTGGACGGTACCTCAGAAATGGCTTCTCAGCGCGGTGCTGTATTTTCTGTATGTATCTTCTGTATGGAACTATTTTCAGCATTTTCAGCTCAATTACTCCCTTCTAACCTCTACAGCAGACAATGCTGCTGTAACGTGCTAGTGAACTGCAGCAGTTTCTGCCTCCGTTGTTCACTGCCGGCTGCGCTTCAGCAGCACCAACTGAACCCTCCTGCAGAAATTCACTGCTTTTTTTCCTCATCATTACCTAACGACCGCTTACAGCCGTTCGCTGGACACGGGACAAGCGCGTGTGAATACACAGAGTTCAGCAGTGTCACTGCAAGTTGGATTCATCCTGTTTTCTTGTCACTCATTTGGTTCATGTGACAGCCTTTGGATTTACAGTAAATTGTCTTGAGACTGAAATTCAGAATGCCAAATTTTATCCCAAAGCACAGGTGCCCAGTGGAGTTGATAAAGTACCAGTTGTGTGAATGTGTGTGCGTTGGGGTGTTACAAATAAAATGGTATGGTCAGAAGGCAGTTACATTTTTCACTCTCATGATCTCACAGTAGCAGATTGGTAAGGTTATTCATAAACATCTAGAACAATATTCAGTTGAAACTATCACTGGACTATATTTCATTGCAAGATTGTGAAATACCATTGGTATTAAGAACTAGTTGGACAAGTTTTTGTCAGGCGTTGTTTTTGTAGTTCACCCTTCCTTTAGGCAAAGTGGTGCTCAAGAAATTCTGCCAGCAGTCCTTCCCACTGCCTGAGAAGGCTTATTAAGCAGAAGATGAAACTGGAATAGCTAGTCACGCTCGTGCTGTGGCAGCCAAGTGTCTGCTGATGTGTTTGGTCTATAGTCATACAGGCTGCAGATTCAGTACTGTTTCCAAAGCTATCAGTAAAAACATCCCATTTACACTACTGCCAAGGGAGCTTAGAATACAGTGACTATAGTTCTGCAGTATCACTGGGTTGTCTGCCTGGGCAGTCTGATAAACCTCCTCAACATTGCACTGGCTATAGAAAATCTGGCAGAAACAGGCCCTAAAAAAGATGATGCTATTACTTGATTGAAAAAGCAGATGATATGTTTGATGTTCACATGGTACTGAGAGTATTTGCATGTGAATATGCAGAATCTGATGAACAGCCTAATACAACTACAAGCTAGAAATGAGATTCAAAGAAGGAAAGTGTGTTTTAAAGCAATTGTTTCATCAGCATCTATTCTGCCACAAAACTGAGTCTGGGTTACCCTCTTCTCAGTGTTCTTCTATCAGATATACCAATGAATTATCTTTGATTATTTTTTTCTATGGTTACAGTGTATAGAAAATTTATTTTCCCACAGTGTAAACTAACATCTTTTCTTCCTGTGTTAGCAAGATACAAGCATAATATGCTGTATTAAATAAAGCATTTCCTATACATATATAAATATATATTACTATGATAACATATCACACGTTTTTAAATAACAGTCTCTATTTCCCCCAACATAACAGTATTAAGACAAAAGTACATACAGAAATCATCTCATCAGCAAACTAAACTAGTTTTAAATGTAGATTTTGAATGGTGGATGCCACTTGTCCAGCTGGCCCCCTTCCAGCTGAAGGCCACGGACACTGCAGGCTGTTGTAACTGAGATGCTGCATGAAACAAGAAGGTAGGCTCACAAACTGCTGCAGTGGCAGTGCTGTCAAGAGTACTTACTGCTCTGCTTCTGGGGTAGACAACCATCTTTTTCCTATGGCTTTACTGTCCACTTAGCTGTGCTAGTTCACCTCTCTATGCAACCACCCAATAAAGCAGCTCAGAGAACTCATCTCTGTTACAAGGACCTTGGGGAAGAAAAAGGGATGGTAATTTTTAACCTGAGTGGTTTACTGCACCACCATGCAGCTGGTTGAGTGAAGAGGGAATGCCTGTGTATGAGGAGGCAGCTCCTCATGATGGTTTTGTTGTCAAACCAGTTGCTTTTGAAATTGCGGCCAGTGTCATGTTTGCAGCCTGCCCGGCCTGTGGAGGGAACTGCGAGGTAGGAGGTCAGACGACCATTCAGATACAATTCCAAACAAATTTTTCTGCATTCGTGGAAGGTAACGCTACGAACATGAACTGCTCGAGGTGTCCGTGCCCTCAGCTGTCACCACTCAGCTGCTAGCGCCACAGGGCTGTTCCTGTGTGCTGAATCCTGTGGGATTACAACAGCTGTGCATGTCAGGCTTTTCTTCTTTCTCTTCCCAAATCCTTCTAGCAAATATCAAAAAGTGCTGTTAGTGGCTGCCACGAACGTCGGCCATTTACCACCATCCACTGGAGCGTTTGCACAAGGAGCGTGAGCCACCATACCACATTTTTTAAAAATCCACAGCAGAGACCTACCTGCTCCTCGTGGTCTTCTGCCTGCAGAGGAAGAAGCGCTATTTAAGGGACCCCTCTATTAAAAGTATCTAGAATCAGACAATCCGAAAGATCGGGGAGGGGGGGGGAACATAACAATTTCCTCTACACTTTTATCAGTGTTTATCTGCACACTGTCCAATACCTTATGCTTAGTCATGTTCATTGTTGCCATGGCTAGTCAATCTGCTCTAACTGCTGGATTTATGGGTCTTTTGTATAGAAATTGGGTCAACATTCCCTAAGAAAAGGCCCATGAAATACGATTTTATTATTTAAAAAATAGTTGAGGACTAAGGGACCAAAGCAAAATCTCAGCTTCTAAATTCTCTGATTTTGCATTAGTAGCATCTGTCTTTTTTGTTGTTTGTAATGGGCTTTCTCTAATTTTATAGTGAAATTAAATTATCTACTGAAAACCAGAGTCTAACCAGTTCAGACTTTTTTCATGCTGCAGTAGGCAGAAATCAGCCAGGGGACACTGATTTTTTTTTTTCCCCAGTTTATCAGCATTAGATTCGACTGTATAACTTTGACCATTTAACTGCTCAAGAACATTTAAGTAAGGCAAGCAAACAGCTTGATCACAGTGTACTCAACTTACCTCTTCAGGATCTAGCTTTACACTCTGACTCTCTCCTCCTGGTTTTCCATTAGTGAATCATATTAAGCATGCTTAGGAAGCAAACTAATTTGTTTTGCTACAAATCTATGAGGTGGATGCTTTCCCTAACCTGACAGTTAAAAAGGCAATTCAGAATTTTTTGTTGGGTCTGAAACGAAGAACGTTTTTTGGCCCAAGCTGGTGACACAAAAGAGGTAACAACTGTATTTTACAACTTGTCCCATCTTGATTTTAGGCAATACAGTAATTATATTTTCCTACATTCTTTCCAGCAGCTCATGCAATAAAGTACTAGATGTTCCCATGATATTCCATGTTTTTTATATAAGCAATTCCATAAGTGCTGTCTCAGTAAGGTCTTGTTTTTATTAAGCATTTGTTGTGGTATTGTTCAGCTGTCTCTGGCACTCATCTGTGGTACATAAATGGAGCTGGAATGAATTCAATTCAGGTAAAAGACTAGATCTACAATGGTAAGTAAGGCACAGTATTTCATTGTTTATTCTTACATGCCCTATTTTTTCAAAGAAATCTCTGGATCTCATGAAGAGTAGGCATTTACATGTTAAAAACAGAAGGGTAGATACTATAATGAATTTAAACTTAGTTACTAGTTTATTAGTTCTCTTTTGCAGATGCATTTAATAGTTGTTCTGTGACTGCAGGTCTGATATACACTGACCATGTATATTTATACTGATACCTATTCCTTTTTTCTTAACCTGACCTGGTAAGCGTTTCTCCATCACAACTCACATTTGCAGTTGAAACTCTATAGAGTGTTTGTCTCCTGAATTTGATTTTATTTGTATATCTCTGCTTCTAGAAACAGAAAATGTAGAAACAGCAGAGCACTGGGCAACCAGGCTGATAGTTTCTCAAAGTCTTCAACTCCCATTTTACTGTGTAGTACCAGTTAGACACATTTACATTTAGGCTACTGAATTCTGGTTGCTGTGGCAGCTGAACAGGTTATCAGACCTATCTCTGTCTTCAGCCATGAGAAAAAAGGGACTAAAGTAGCCTGATGATAGAATACAGTGATACAGGAAAGCAGGACACAGGAAGTCCTCAACCTGCAGATACTTCTTCAATTACTTTTTGCAGGAGTACAGGGCATTTTGTATTTCACAGGGCTTTACATAGATTTTAAATGCATGGGTCTCAAGGCAACAATTAACAGCACCACAGATGTGATGAACACCAGACAGTTTAAAACTATCACTGCAATTAATTGCTGCTGTTGTCCCTAGTGTACCCAAGAGAGCAGAAGACAGGCAAAGTCACTCAAAAGCCTTTGGAAGTGCACTTTTTGGAAGACAAGTATGAGATTGGGGGGGGGGGGGGGGGGGTTCTCACAAAAACCCGTCAGTGTGGGTGTGGGGGGATGTTATTCCCAAGTCACCTGGATTTTAAGGTTGATTCTTGTAAACTAAGACACTTCAGTTTCCCACTAGTGGGTTGCAATCATCTTGTTGACTTCGAAGCTTTTTCTTGAAGATGGATATCGACGTGGACGGTTGGTAAAATATACTCCAGATCTCTCCAGCAGAGGTAACCTCACTGGAATCTTCTGTTTCAGTTGCAGATGGTATCTGATGGGATCTAGGAAACAAGTGTTAATTCACTGCGAGTGTTAAGGTACTTGGGAATGCTGCTGTTACTAGTCAGTTTCCACTAAATCTGTGACACCTTTTCTTTCTAGCTGCTGCACAGTTATATAGGGTTTTGGAGTGTTTGTTGGTTGTTTCTTGACCAAATGAAAAGTTAGGCATTCTGTTGCTCGAATAGTTGCTACAATATATAGCAACAATATTAAGAAGCCTGTACGTATTCTATTACTAATTGCCATGAATATATATAAATTTCCTTGTATATTTAAGCCTGTTTGTGGTATGTAAATACAATATTCAACCTTTATGATTCACTGATAACTCGCCCATCATTTTATTCAATGAATGTCCATCTAGAGGACATAAAAATTACTTGGTATAACTGTAGAGAAATACAGTAATAACATTATGTTGTTTTTATTAATAGGCAAAAAACTGGCTAAGTGTCAATACAGATTTTCATTGTTGTGATTCTTTTTTGAACCATTTTCAATATTTCAGTAAAAGACAGTAAGTATTAATTATCCTGTATCTAACTCTTTTCCCCAGTTCCCTGTGCTGCGATGAGGTTTTATTTTTTTTCCCACAAAGTATTACCATAATTTGACCTCTTCCCCCCAATGCCAGATGACTGTTACCTCTTCTTCTTTGCTGTATAACATCACGCAGTACGAGAAGCCTTTTTATTCCTTAAAATACAAATCTTGTCAAAACAAGACCAAAATAAATATTCCAGCAGCAAATGCTATCCTAACAGACTGGAAAGTTCCAAAAATGTGCTTATTTAGTACCTTTCATGAGGATACAAGTAAGTAAATATATAACTTAGATTTGAATGTGACCAATCTGACAGTATCATAAGGCAGAGAAATGTAGTGCATCAGGCTTGGTACAGAGCTGAGATGTCAGTTCTCCAGGCCAGTTTTGCTCCATACTCACCTCATGGTAATGTGGAGAAATATCTTTGCTATTACGGCTGTAATACTTAGGATGAGCAGTGCTGTGAGACTGTATATTGTCCACTCTGTAAGAGAGGAAAGGGAGAGGAGAAGTTTCCAGTTCCTTCCTTTACTTACAGTTTTTAAAGTAAGAATATTGCCAAAGGAAACACATAGCCTTCTAATGTGTTATTCAAAACTGTAATTTAGATGTGCCTTACACCTTTAAGTGTTTTCTGCAAAGGCTGGCAGAAACTGTGTAACTCTCAATCAGAACTGGTTTTTCGCCATACATGCCTGATCCCTACAAAATTGAAAGCTGGGAAAATCAAAGCATATACCAGTAAAATTATTTAATCTCTAGGAAAGGAATCAAAACTGGGAGAAAAAATTAAAAGCAGACTAAAGAACATAATAGAATATATGCTACCAGTAGTGACTCTCTATTTGCAAGGAGATGGCCTGCTTTTATATCAGTAATTATGCAAGTAATCACTAAGTATAGGTTGGTTTTTTTTCCATTCTAGAGGCTACCAAACAGGTGATCAGTATTTGTAATCCGCTATTTTATTATCTTACACTGACAGCTCTTGGTCATTCTATTTTACATTTCAATTTAGTTCTGGCTGTCCCAACAAATCAAGCAGGAATAAAGGAACAGCCTGGCACATTGTAACATTTGAACTATTTGAGAGACTTGGGCTCCAAGTGACCTGATTTCTAAATCATTAGATCATGTTTTCATTTGGAGTTTAGTTCTCTTGCAGTGGGAGTCTACAGCAAGTCAACATGGGAAAAGGAATGGCACTAGAAAGTAACTAACTGTGACGTATTTAGCACACAGCCTTGCAAGGGCCTTGAATTATTAGAACTGAATCAAGGCAGTCACCTTCAAAAGTCCTGAAGCTCAAAGCAGGAAAAAAATGAAGTGTAGGTTCCCTCTCACCCAGTGCCCCTTCCTCAAAGCATTGACTGTTCATCAGGATTTTAACAGAATTGTCCTAACTGCATAAAATCCAAGGATGCAGTTTCATCTTGGGTCAATATGCCAAAGCTAGTGGAACACTAGGCAGCTTAAATGTAGCTGTGGTAACTCAGGCACAAGCCTGAGTCTAGTGCCAGAGTATCTCCCCAGAATCCTGAGCATGTTCTGCATCCTGGATAGTTTGGTATATGCAGCTCACATGCAGTCATGTCCTTATGCTTCAGGTTTGGAATGCAGACAGCTTCAGGACTACAGAACTATTAGAGTGTCCATAGTGGGATCATGGCCCAGCTTCAACAATATCTAAATGCAGATACCTAGGGTAGTTGAAAGACAGGAGAGGCCAATAGTGATATTCACCAAGAGTGCATTTCTACTCTTCAATTATTTACAACTCAACAATTCCCTGAATGGTATCTTGAAAGCGAGCTCTAGACATGTAACAGTTCTCAGTGGCATCATCCCTACACCCATTAACTTTCTTCATCCTTGTAGAGCCCTCTTTATATTATTGCTGTAGTTTTTGTGAATTGATGTAACTTGGACACATTCCCCCACTGAGACTCTTCAAGGCTACAAAAGCTTGCTCTTTTTTCAGTGCCTTTTGCCTCCTCTATGGTATGCACTGGTTACTGAAGCTAACTCTAGTAAGGAGGCTGCTTATTACCTGCTTTCACTCACAACGAGTCAGCATCTTCATAGTATTTCTAACTGATTTAGGCCAAGAAGTGAGTTTTGAAAAGTCATGAGAGCAGCACAGTTAGTGGTAATCAGACTAAATAAAAAATCATCTATTGGTAAGAGGCACAGTGGATCAGATTATGTAGTGCAGGAGGCAAAGAAAATAGTAACTCTAGATTATGCCTTGGCAAAATGTTTTTCCCGTTTCCACATTTTCTTGTAATATTACCAGGCATGGAGCTACTGGGATGACTTGGGCTGGTTGTGATAACATAAAGTATCTTTGATGACCGGGCTGCATTGATGCTGAGATTTCCTTGTTCATTTATCTTCTCTGAAAAGGTCTGATTCATTGGAATCTTGTTTTGATGCACATTGTCCTTCACAGCTGAAAACATGAGAGTATGATTATTATTATTTCTTAAAAAGTATAGTTGGACTTTATTTTATGCTTGTAAACAGCTGTCTGGTTTACTTACAGATCTCCAATAATCAATTTATGCCTGATGCCAGAAAAAGCCTGTACTTCACCAAGCTGGGGTTCTCCAAATTTTTCTGGAAGCTACTCTTCATCATAACAGTAGGTACAACTGAAGGACTAAAATGTTTTCTTCTAACAGACTGTTGTGAAGATCCAAGATTAACAAAGATGCAGGTAGACTACTTTTTTTGTTTTGTTTCAGCTTTGTCATTTTCCATCTGTTTTGACAGGTATGTAAAAGATTGAATTTTTTAAAGTTATATTTGGCTATTTTATGATATGGCTGACTGGAGTGTTCCAAACTGAGTGAAATTTTAGTAAAGCTTTTACCCACTGAGCAGTGGCAACAAGATAGAAGAAACACCCATGGATGTGGAAGTTAAAATATTTGCTCTTTTTTTGCCAATTCAGAAATCTTTTATGTGAATTAAATGCCTTAACAGCTCATTGAAAGGTAGAAACAGCAAAGTTGGTCTCTTACCTCTGTATCTGATAGCAAATCCCTGGGCTTGATTAATTTCATCTGAGAAAAAGTACAAAATGACAAAATCCAAAGAGATGTTAAATGTCTGGGGAGGCCGGTTCTTGCCATTGAAACGAGCTAGAACATGATAGGTGTAGCCATCCAGCAGTTCCACCATATCTGTAGCATCTTTGATTTCAAAAAGGGCAAAGCTGAAATGGATTTGAGATGCTCCTGGAACTTGTATGGTCCAGTAACAGACTTTGCCTGTGCCGTATGTGTCAGGAAAATCTGGGGAATAGATCACAGCTGTGGCAGAAGTGTAATTCCCTCCACATGCACCAATAAGGGCTGTGAAAAGAAGAGGAGAAGGAGCTGTGTTAACTGGTTTATAGCAAGTTTTGTTTAGTTTAATAAAAAAGCCCAAGTTGGTATAGATTGAGATTTTATTTGAGGTGCCTCACTTGATCATGTATCTACCCTCTGGTAAGATCAGTTCCGAAGGAGTCTTTCCGTGACATACTGTTTGTGACAGCTGAGTTAGTACCATCTGGGGGGAAGTAAGAGACAACCTCTACAGCATGAGCCAGTTGCCTGAGCAGGCATAATTTCATAGGACTATTTCACATTATTAATGGATATGACTTTTATGCTGAAATGGAAAGCAGCTTTATTTTATACTGAATTGAGGTGTTTTGCTGTTTTGTGTGCAGCAGTTCTCACCGCATTTAAACCCTTTTCCCTAATTTGCTGAACATTTGAGGCCTCTCCTTTGGGAAAAACTGCTCCTGTTTCAATACTTACTGTCAAAAAGAATGACTCTGCCATCCCCACCACAAGGCTGAGTATGGTCTCCAAAGCAAACACTGTTGCATTCCGTACTGGCTGCCTCCCCATATCTCCAGTAGTCAGGATTATTTCCACAGAAACAAGCATAACCTGACTCCATGCCTGCAAACTTTGACAACAAAGAAGCATAAGGAAGGGAAGGATAATATTTAAAGGAGTGACAGCAGGAGGTTGTATGAGCAAGAAAGCTGGCAGCAGCGTATGTGTGTTTTGGAGAAGTACGATTAGTCAGAGGTCCCACCACAAACTGGTTTTGTTTGAGCTGTCAGGATGCTACTTGAGAGAGATCTAACGGAGGGCCATTAGGGCACCCTATCACTCATAACTGCAGGAAGCAAGCATATTTTGTCCTGGCATCCTGGCATTATTCATTGGTCACTTGCCCAAACTGCTCTGGATGCAGAGAGAGGGCTAGGTCCCTGGAACAGAGGAAGACCTTAGACCTCCTAAAGGTTTTAAAAAAAAAGTGGGGAGGTGGCAGGGAAATACGATGAAGAGCTCTGCATATTGCTATCTTCTGTCTTTGAATATATCTTGTAAATGTATTTCAAAGAAATCACCTTGAATTGTTGACTTCGACAGGAACTGATGCATGTTTGGATAGTAAGTTTATTGGAGGTCTCGCTGGTGCCAGTCAAAGGTGGTGGCTCTCCATGGTCCTTGTAACACCCTAGATTCCCCGGCACTGGCAAGAATAACAGACAATGGTCATTCTAAAGGTGTGCCTGGAAACACCCAAGACACAGACCACTTTATGCACTACCTGGCTACTAGGCAGCTCTCTGTATGTCCTTGTCTTCATTTTGCAGTATGGGAAATGTTACTCTATGCTAGATCCTTGTCATATTTTCTAAACATGTCCAGGGATAAATGACAGATAGTGAAATAGCGTCGTATCTTCTTAGCAATACACCTGCAATACTCTGTAGTTGGTTCCTGTAAGCCACAGTAATACAGTCAAGGTAAAAACCTGTTTGACTTCTCCTGATAGAGACAATTACAAAAAAAACCCTGGCGTTATTATGTGGGTTCAAAAGTTTTTTGGAGGTTTTAAAGTATGACCACGCATATTCTAACAATGTAAAATCAATACTGTGATTTCAGTCTGAGCTTCAAAACAATGACATTCTGGAAATTTTCTAAACAGGATATTTGAGAAAGGAAACCTAAACTCTTTTAGGATGGAGTTTAGCAAGTTTTATGGGAGGGACTATATACTTACATAGGAGAATTTCTTAATACTTAAAACTCAAATTTTGGTATGAATGCAAAGTATCATATTTTTTGGTATGTACAAAGAGACTGAAAATGAGCAATATTACTTAAGAAACATCTAGTTATAGTGTAAGAATCAACATTTCACAGCTCGCTGGTCAGTATGGGAGGTCAGAAAGTTTTCCCCCTTCAATGCATAATCTGTCCTCTGCTTTTGTTTTGTTTTGTTCTTGCACTTTTCATCAAAGCACTGAAAGTTAGACATGACTACTAGAGGGAGGATGTGGGGTATGATATAATGCTGTGCTAATGGCATAAAATTACCCTTTGCCTACTTGTCATATCTGCTCACATACTTGGAATGAATCTGTTACCAGCTCATTGGTCAGATAGTTATTTCTGTGCCAGATTGACGAGGATTATTTTTTGTTCACTTCCACTGCTCCGTATAACATGTGATGCGGTAAGAGACTGTAAGAGTTTGACTTTCTCAGTCATTTGTTATTCCAGTACCCAGTAAACTCTGAACTCTCACTACTGTCCCACAGCACTGGTCCAGGTTTTTGATTTACCAGTAGGATTTTGGGTTGGTTTTTGGGTTTTGGTTTGGTTTCTTTTTTGGGGGGTGAGGGGTAGGGGGATGCAGGCTCTGATTGATGCCTGTTAGCATGTGGATGAGCTCCTTTGGGGCTCCTTTAGAGCTAGTCATCTCTTGTACAGGTGGCTCCTTTCTCTATCAGATACCCCATGTGTTAGTAAACTGCTTCTGTATTATTATACTATCACATAAATACCGTAGGAATGCAATGATGGGGTTTGTACTGAGAAGTCTTGTATAGTAGTCCTGAAAGTATCTCTTCACTGGATTCTGAAAGGCCCATTTCTGGGATTTCTGATTCATGTCCATGTGCAGCAGCTGTTGAAATAATGTCTTGAATTCAGAATTTCTATTTGTCTAATCTTAACAAAAATGGGTTAGTCCTTATTCTTTTGGAATATGATATGCTAAGCTTGTAAACTGATGTCAGTTTACTGTAAAAATTGGAATCATCCTGACATCTGGAACAGTCAATAGGTCTATCTGAGTTCCTGCTCCCAGGCTTAGGCTATGTTGCCTATGGCAGCTTCCTTATTTTGAGGAAGAGGGTTAGCATATCTCTTAGTGACCAGCAAATATACTGGTGTGTATATGATTATACTCTTAAGGAGTATGATTACAGTATTATAAAGAAGAATTAATGAAGTTGGGAAGAAAAATCATATTGTATATTTTCATAATGTAAACTGAATTTATAATGTATAATTTTTAAGAATTAGATGTTGCTTGAAATATTGTTCATAAAATAATTTTCTGAGAATGACACAATTTAAATTATAAACGCTTGCATGGGATGATGGCTTTCATATGCCCTGCAGCAACGTGCATATGAGTACTGAGACTTCAAGTTACAGCCTGATTTAACATACTTCTGGAAATCCCCATTTGCAGCCCCACCCCAGCTGAATACAGCTGGGCAGATAACTCTGAGAGCTCAGTTTTCTCTACAGTGCATGATTTCACTACCCTGAGAAAGCTTCATTTTCCTTGGAGACCTGGGATTTCCTAAAAATGCTACTCTTTCTTTCTTTCTCTCTTTTTTTTTTTTCTTTTTGAATGTAACCTTATTGGTGAGACCCTTCAACCTTTTCTCCGGAGGATTAGTACTTCAATATGTTCCACACTGAAGAACCAGACTGAGTAATTTAAAAGCTGCTTACATTGTGTAACTTAATCAAGCCTACTATTTGGGTAAAGTCTAATTAGTCTTTCTGGTGTCCCAACAATATTTTAACTTTCTCTTCTCTAGCAAACAAAATTAGTGTCCTGTGATTTGGAATAAACAGAAGAAGCGTCAGTGCCCAGCTCTCCAGATAACTTTGATATGAAATCAACAAACGACAGCTGAAGGTGAGCTGAAGGATATTTGCTCACCTAAAAGCACTTCATAGTCCCACATCAAATATGTAATTAAACACTCCTCTGAACTGGGACAATACACATACAAAAATTTACTCCTGTACATGCATATATGATTTTGATATGTCATCTCTTCCTATGGCTACTGATGGCTGGTCCTAAACCTGAGACACCACTTAATTGCTACTGAAGGGTACAAAGTACACAGTGTAAGTGTAATAGCACAGGGGAGATAATTTGTAATCCGAGTATGAGACGATCTAATTGGCAAACAGTTTTTATATCAATCAGATGCGCAGTGATGAAAAATTACTGCTTTTCAACAATATTTTTAGTATATTGGAATAATATGCTCCTCTTTCATGCTTTATTGAACTGGATCAGGATGTATGCATAGGAAGCCACCCATATAAATCTAAACAAAGACGCTGTACAGTTATGTATGTGGAGCAGCTCTGCAGAAAAGGCCCTTGAGGTGCTGACAGACACTGAGCCAGGAGAGTGCCATGCAGAAAAGGCCAACAAGCCAGTATTAAGATGAGCACAGCCAGAGATCAAGGGAAGTGAACTGTTCCTCTACTTGTTAGGACCACATCAAGATTACTATGTCCAGTGCAAGAAAAACATGTAATTGTCTGAAGCGAATTCAGCAGAGAGCCAAGACGCTCAGAAGGCTGGAGCACTCGCCCTGTGAGAAGAGGCTGAGGTACTGGTGCTTGTTCAGCCTGCAGAAGAGGAGGCTCCGGGCACTCCCTAGCAGCTTTGCAATGCCTACATGGAGGTTGTCACAACAGTGGAGCCAGGGTCTTCACAGTGATGCATTTTGGACAAGAGGTAATGAATGACCTTAAGTTGAAACATGAGATGTTCAGACTGGATACAAGGAAAATCGTTTCACCATGCTGGCAGTCAAGCATGGGAACGAGGGCCAGAGAGGGAGTGCACTGCAGCCCTGGAGGTTCTCGTGGCCTGACTTGATAAACGTGGTCTAATCTGACAAACTCAATAACTTGGTCTGATCTCGGAGCTGGCCCTGCTTTGTACAAGGAGGCTGGAGTAGATGGTGGCCTGAGGTCCCTTCCAACCTCGGGTATCCTACAACCTTGTGTGTACCTCTGTGTCTGTGTGTGTATACACACACACATATACATATATGTAAAGCAATGAAGAATCAAAAGTATTTCTAGATAGGTAATGACTGTTTAGTTACTCTGAGCTTCAAGAATTTTCAAAATAATCTTTTGCCTTCATTTGCTCTAGCTACTAAAGAAACTTGGCAAAACTGAGATAGTCAATTACTGTTCATGCTGATCAGTGATGCATCACCATTACACTGTCTTCACCCATTTGTTCTCTTGTGCTTAAAATGTCACCTCTTTTAAGCAAGCATGCTATTTTTCTTTCAAGCAGCATCTGACATAACGATGTCTTGGCAAACACCAGAGCTTCTGCATATTACACATTAAGGCACATGTACTAAATCATGGAATTAATCCTTTTTCAAATCCATATTCCAGCTATGCTCATCCATGTGTCTTTCAAAAGACTCCTAGCTTTTTGCAATGGTAGTCTGCACCAGTATGCCGTCTCAAATTGTGCAAGCTACTCCCTTTGTTCTTGTGTTAAAACGTAGACAAGTCAATCTTAGAGTGATCGATACAGCTCTGTACAACTTACCTGGCTCTGCTATTTAATACTTCATCAGTATTTCAGTCAACTTTGCTACATGACATACATGCATACAGGAAATCTGTTTATGTAAGAGACTCATGTGGGCCACAAACATGGAGATGCAATTAAGTAAGACTGCAAGCCTTTTACATTTTGGGAGCATAAGTTATTTCCTTTGAATTTCAAACTAACCTCATTAACAAAGAGACCAAAAAAAAAAAATTAAAAATGTCAGGAATAGCTGCAACATTGCAAACAAACCATCTAAAGCATTCATTTCTGAATTCTCCATGTGAGATGCACATGTTCTCTCAGGACTCAGTGCTGCCTTCTTGCCTTTTGTTTATGTCCACTCCAGGCTGCCTAGCAGACAAGCCATTAAGAGAAGGAGAGGAAGAAAAGGGAAGACTAAGCTCCTACTGGGGTAACTACCACTGTCTTCTGTAATTATGCCCATCCATTCTCATCTAACATTGCTAAATTCTGTGTAGCATGTTTACACATGCAGAATGCTAGAACACATTTCTGAATTAAGTGTTATGTTTAAGTATTAGTGAATGAGACACATGATATAATCATGTGAAATCATCATCATAATGAAAAATTCTTAACTGTAGATCCTTAATTATTGTAACAGTGAATCATTGCATGCATATTTCTATAGGCAATCAAGATGCTTCATGTTGTTGACATTGTAGTGGTGTATGTGAGTATAGTTTATAAGTAAATTATGCTCCAGATACTTTTCTTTTCTAGTAGTAAATATAATTATGGAAAAGAAGCTTACGTAAAAAACTTTCTTTTACTTCTTGAAAAAAATTCAAATAGCATTTCTTTACACAATTGCTTTCTTGCTCACAAGAACTCAGTTTTGTATTACGCACTTCACAAGTTGTTTTTGATGGTCCTATGATTTAGCATCATGCTTATTGAAAACAGAAAATCTGGTAAAGAATAAAAGGTTTGGGTTTTGTTTTGGTTTTTTGGTTGTTTTTTTTTTACTTACACAGCTTCATGAACCATGAGGTTTGTATTAAGACTTGGATGGGCTTGCAGTGTACAGTTTGTTCTAAATTGCTGCAATTCCTTTTTCTAGTATCCAGTTTCAGTGCAGTGCTTGAAGCAGCTGCTACTGGTCAAAAGGACATTTTTTAAATGTAAGTCTGGATTATCTGTGCAAGTAACTGTCCAAGTTTAAATCCTCTGCTCCCCACCACAGAGAAAATGAGTGAGACTGCTTTTAAAAGGATCCTTTGTGTAGAACAAATGGAGTGGAGAGAATTTGCCTTTCAGCTTTTTTACTGGTGCCATATACAGAGAATTTGTTAATATCTGTGGTCTTTAAAGAAAATGCAAATTCTTCCATTTTAGACCAAGATAAATTTCTTAATTAGGAGGGTCATGTTTCCTAAATACAACCTGGTATATCAGAAAAATAAGAGTAAGACGTCCTCTGAACAACGAGTACTGGAGCGCTAAATGATTTTGTGTTATTTAAATTAGACTTCTTAATCTGTATTTAAGTCTAGGTAAGTCCCCTGACTTAAGGTCACACATGTATTTGTTTGCCTAGCTTGAAGAAGTGACTCACTCACGTTCCTAAAAAAAAGAAAACTGTGAATGACGTAAAAAAATCTCTTTAGATCCATTTTTCTTTGTTTGGTTTGTTTACTTTACTTCAAGTAAGAAATATACTTCTTCCAATTGAAAGTATGCCTACATAAGGACAACTGCCCTGATGCTTAACAGCAAACACGTAAGTTATCTGTTAGAGAGTACTTGCACAGAAGTTAGGAAAGCAACTAAAGGCATAAACTATTAGACCTACTAAAATGTGTAGTTATGGTTGGTTGTTAACATGAAAAATTGGAATATCTTTTTAATATTTAGGCATATTTTAAATAATGTGATTCTTAGAAGTTTATGGCTTAGGTTGGAGGGACCCTAAAGCTCATGTAGTTCCAACCCCCTGCCACAGGCAGGGACACTTTCCACTAGAGCAGGTTGCTCCAAGCCCCTGTGTCCAAACTGGCCCTTGAACACTGCCAGGGAGGGGGCAGCCACAGCTTCTCTGGGCACCCTGTGCCAGCACCTCAGCACCCTCACAGGGAAGAGCTTCTGCCTAAGATCTGCCAGAGGGGAGGCTGAGATGAGGTTAAAGCCACTCCTCTTGCCCTGTCCCTACAGGCCCTTGTCCAAAGGCCCTCTCCAGGTTTCTTGTAGCCTCTTTAGGCCCTGGGAGCTGCTCTAAGGTTTCCCCAGAGATTTCTCTTCTCCAGGCTGAACAAGCCCAGCTCTCTCAGCCTGTCTCCATAAGAGATGTTCACCAGCTCTTGGAGCATCATGACAAAACCTCCACATTTTGGACAATTAAATAATGTGATGCATTAGAAATATTAAATACCAGAAGGAAGCTTCAGGTGAATAGCTTGGGAATTATGGTTTAGTGTGACATGTCCCTGCCCAAGGCAGGGGGGTTGGAACTAGATGATCCTTTCCAACCCTAACTATTCTATTCCATTCCATTCTATTATATTCTATTCCATTCTATTATATGTTAAAATATCCAAGTCCAGTTTGTGGTTCCACAGCAATGCTAAGTATATGCACCTGTGAGCAACAGAATTCTAGACCAGAGCTCCCATATACCAAACAAATACTCATCTTTTCACTATGTCCTCTCACACTGTATTTATTTCTTCCAAGCAATTCTGTGTATGATGTGTTATACACATTAATGCCATCATTTCACAAGCTAATTGTAAATGATGGACATGTGTACCTTGTAAAAAAATTAATTTCTAATTTCCTATTCATTTTTGTCCTCTAGATTTTAATAAATGAATGACATATTTTTATGGATTGAAAATACTAGCAGTACTCCTTAAATTTTGAGTAATTTTCTGTCTGGTATTATTTGTAAATAATATAATCCAGTAATTCTGATACGAGATCAAAAGGATAGCAATGGAGGAACGATTCGGTAAGCTTGACCAGAGACCCATTTAAAATATTGCTTAGTCTGCAAATGAAAATAAGCTGATTGGCCTTATCCTAGTTACTGTTTGAAAATCAGTACCCACTGTGGTGTAACTGCCAATATCTGTTCAACAGAGATGCAGGCCTAAAAAAATTTCATGGTGCTCTTACTTCGGCAGGATGGAATTTCACAGTATTTCCAATATATTCCATCCTCATGTTCTGCAATGTAGCACCATGGGCTGACATCTCCATCAGGGTTCCTAAAAGAGAAGAATAGTGAGTGAGTGAAAAGTCATCAAGTATTCTCAAAAAACCCACATAAAAATCAATTTTATTAAGCTTTGGTGTCATCACTATTCTTGCTCTAGCAATTAATATTTAATTTGTTGGACTGACTTACCAAGAAAAATGCAAAAGTGGTCAGGAAGCTCAGATCACTGGTTATTACAGCACACAGCAAGCATAAAATGCTAGCAGCGTCTAAAACTTAACTGCTTTTTTCTTCGAGTATAAAAGGTGCAGAGCTATTTCTGGGCAGTACCGAGAGAGGAAGATCATGTGTACAGGTTCTTTAGACTCCTAAACTTGATTTCTGCCTTGGTACAAAACAGTCCAGACTCCAAGTTTCTCTATGTATGACGAAAAAAAATATTTATCCAATCAAGTCTTCTATGAAAGCCTCAGGTCTTGTCTTCCTTTTCAGTAAAGCTGAGTAAATCTGTTCCAGTGATCTGATATATTGATGGGTAATTCCTTATGTGTCCATGATTGTTCTTTGCTGTTGTGCAGCATCATTTACAAGTGTATACCTAATTAGTCATTAGGTTATTTAAAGTTTCTTTCTATGTACAACTTGAAAAAGTATTTGTATTGAAAAGATCAATTTAAGAAATTAACTTGTAATTTTGGACAGTCAGGTTGAAATAAGACCTTTTCTTGTTAACTAGGGTCAAGTACAAACTTTTTATCATGTACTTCGGCATGAATTCTATGAAGACACCCCCCCTACACTGAAGTGTCAGTTCAGCTGCATCTTGTCATTTGGGCACATTAACAAGTCTTCGTGGGAGATCCAATTTGAGAACTGCTGGGAATCATTTTTCATCAAATAACAGAATGCTGAAGACAATTGGTGAGTTAAGTTCAATTTAGCTGATTAAAATGCTGCTGTTGAGCTTTCAACAGACTAGTGGACGCAGAAGACTTTTGTGTGAGGAACTTAGGTGTAATGGCAGAGCTTCCAGTGGCTAAAGAAAGTAGAAAGCTAGTATCAAGGAAAGCTTGTACTCGGAAATAACACAATTCTCTTTGGTTTCATGCCCACAGGAAACTTTGCGTTTACACTTGCATGACAGAAATCAGATGTCTGAAACTGAACCATGGTAATGGCACTCCACATATAAATGCCTTAAAATGCAAGGAAATTGCAGAGAAATGTGATGAATGTAGTTAGAAATCTTTGCCTTGAACCTCAAAAGTGCACACAACTAGAAAACAAGCGAGTGTCTTTCAGAATCTCCAAAAACTTCAGTCTGCATAATTCTGTTATGGCTAAAATTAAGTTTAGTGGAACATTATGAGGCATTTCCATCTTAACAGGGTGTCTTGCAGTAAACAAAGTATTCCAAGTAAGGACCACCCATGGAGAAATAACATGCTTCTGATTAATGCTGTAAGTGTAAAATTAGATTATTCAAATGTTGTTCTTAAAATTGAGCCTCAAAGGATCGTAGTAGGCTTTAAAAAAGCCCTGTGAGAAGGGAAGATCAACTTGTCCATTGTCACCAAGCAAATGAGTGGCAGAGAAACAGCTAAAATAGTGGTATCTTCACCCACAAAGCACTGACAAGATTTGCAAGCTAAAGATATGCTCTGACATTCTTAAAACAGTGACTTTCCAAGCTTTTTTTTCTTTTTTCTTTTCCAACAGAATGTGAAGTTGAAAAGCATTCATTCAGTAGGATCATCATTATCATCATTCCATGCACCTGTGAGAATACTCCTGGGCCAAGTGATATAACAAAGAAGGAAATGGCTAACCTTCCAGTCAAACTTCATCTCAAAGAGGATAATCTAACACCCAGTAGATTGAGGTTAAAAAGCTGTATCTGATAACCAAATAATTTCCCAGGCTTACATACCAGATTATAGGCTTTTTGCTCCTCTTTTGCTGAGTAAAGTGAAACTCTAGTAAGGATAACTTGAATACCTGGATAAACATTGTTTGTTATGCACATTTTTTCATAGCTTGTACATGTTTTGCTTTGTATTAACCTAAGCACTAGCCAGAGATGACTGCCAAAAATAAGACCCTGTAGGTACAGTCTATCTGGGATATTGCCACACAGCAACAGTCAAAATTACATTCTTGATTCTGCTGTTTGTATGAGAGTTAATTCAGTGGCCACTCACCTTTCTATAGGTCTATATTAGTATGTGTATTGAGAGACACATGTCATGAAAATTGTTATGCACTTGGTGGTGTTGGGCTGAGAGAAGCTGTGAAGTTGGTGTAAAATGTTTTTAATGGGAACAGCCCTTTCAGTGCTCACATGCTGATCTGCTACTAGACAGCTTGCTGGGTTTATTTGGCTTCCAGGCCATTTTCTCAAGAGAATGGCCAACTCCTACAGTGTTTCTTTTGTAGGTGGTATATTTTTTGTTCCTCTAAGATGCTGAACTGATTCAAAAAGCATCAATTCTGAACCTGGCAATAATGATTTCTCCTTCTATGGCTGAAAACAGAGTCCACCAGTGCAACACATTGAACAGTGTTATCTTGAAGCACTGATGCAGCCACTGGAAGAGATACCAAGTAAGTCTTTTTCTTCCCTACCCTTCACCAGTGTTCCCCACTGAGAAATACCCTGCCGAGTCACCAAAGACTCTGGAAGCACTACTGACTCCTTTCATCAATATGCTCATCTGTGTGCTGCATGTCACAAGATGTTTTTTCTGTGCTTTCGTACTTACACTCCTTTAACTGGCTGGTTCTGTCTCTGTCATATTTTCCTGTCTGTCTGTTTCTGATTAAATATGGTAAAGTTTGAAGGTGGCAACTGCATAGGCTCTATAAACCTAGGAAGCCTATAAACTGCCAAGTAAAAGTATCTTACAGAAGAATTGAGGTGTGGTTTGAACCTTCTCACAAAGGAGACATTGCTATGGCCCAGGTAACTCAGTTCTTAATTGCATGGGTTGAACGTCTCTGTCCCCATTACCCAGTGAGAGACTCCACTCAATTTTATACGCATCCTAGATGAGCTGATGATTATCACTGTTTAAGAAATGCATCTGTCAGGTTATGCCCCACCTATTTCCATAGCAAGTATAGATGGGTATAAAAACTTAGCTGGTCAGTCCTGCAAAGGTAAAACTGCATGTAACTTCCTGATGCACAACATCAGGGAGTTAAATGTTGCAGGGTGAAAAGAGTCTGCAGAGCCTAAGCATCTCTGAACTTAGGTTCTTATTTGGCTCCTGAATTCTGGAGTTCTTATTTAAGTTTCGCTCCAAGTTCTATCCACAGAACTTCTATCCCTCTTTAGAAGGCAAGGAAATGAAAGGGGATCTGCCATGGTTTAAGCTGGTGTTGTAACCACTGACACTTGAGCTTCTGAATTCAAGTAACAACTCTATGTCACTGAAAAGCTTATGCTGAGATTTTTTTGTGACTACATAACTTTAGCACAAAACTCAAACAGAACATAGAACAGAACTACGCTTGTGGGTGAGGATAAAAACCATAATGTTGCAGAGTCTCCCACAGACATTCACTAGTGCTCCTGTACTTCTGACCTGGATATTTTTTTTTGTTTACTTCCACCTTTTCATTTAAGTAACCTCTAGTCTTTCTTCATGATGCCAAATATAGGTTGGATATATAATATGGACTTTGGGTGAGAGCTGGGTTGATAAAGTTATTCTACTAATGGTGCTTGAAAATTCAGGGTACTGATTACAGGATAAACCAAAATCTATTAGATATCCATGGTTCTGACATTCTTCACTGCATGACAGGAAGTTTCCTAATTTTGTGTCAACTGTTTAAAGTAATACTGGGTATACAGGCAATGTTAGTAGCAGACAGATTTCTTACCTGCAGTAGTTATGCTCTCCAAGCCCTCCCTCCCCATTGGGATATTTCAAAGTATTATAAGGATGCTCAAAGGTCTCATTCCAAAAAAGACAAGGTTTCCCTGCATATTGGGAGGTCTGGTTCTGAGTGCCACGATAGTCAGCCCCATTTGCTGTGTAACATTCTGGGAAGAAATGGAAATGGAGAAAGAAATAATGTATGCAGGTTTAGTGTTTGGTTGTTCTTCCCTCACCCTCCACCCCCATCCCAAAAGATCATGTTTCCTTTCACTAACATGTTTCCTGAATTGTTTAGGGAACTAAAGGTGCTGCCTGGGATGTAAATTTTCTCTCAGAGTCAAACATCTATTGAAGAGATTATGATTTCATTACTTTACTAAACAATGTATGACAGGTCTGAAGAGTGGTTAATACAATTAACATGCACTTTCTGAATAAGCATACTGTATTTTTCACTGTTTTCCCCGTGATTTATTCATCGGGTTGAATCTGTAACTTGTTAATTTTCCAGAAATGAAATCAGATGATGCTGTTGGTCTGCCACATATCTGCACACTACCCAAAATCTCGTGCCAGTTTAATTAAAGTTGAGAATATCTATAGCTTTATAAAGTGAAAAGATTTGTAAGCATCGATCTTGCAAACATTTACATACTAATTTAGAAAAATTCTTAGGTGTTTTTTCCTGTGGTCTGAATTTCCTTAGAAAGGGACCTCCTTTGGTAGAGTACAACCATGATACTGTCATTTGCTACTAATGCATTTACGCTTTCAGGTTAAATTTACAGGTCAGTACTCTTCTGCCTCGCCCATATTTTCTCCCACTTATCTTTGTTTTCCTAATACTCAGCAAATTAGAAATCAAAGCAGAGAATGATTTGTCTAGTCATTAAAGATACCATCCCCTTCTCAACAGAGCTACAAATTTCATGCTGCCTGGCTTTGATATGTCTTATTATTGACATCTTCTGATCAAATTAATATTCATATGCATGAACAATTTTAGCTTTACTAAAAATGCAAAGCATTTGTTATTAAATTGTGCACTGTGAGGGTGACAGAGCAGGGGAACAGTCTGCCCAGAAAGGCAACTGTTGGAATCTCTATGTTCAAAGGCCATCTGGACATGGTCGTGGGCCGTCTGCTTTAGGTGACCATACTTGAACAGAAATCACCTAAATGATGAGCCCCAGAGATCATCTCCAACCTCAATTGTCCTGTGACAACCTTCCAAAAAAAAATCATTAAAATGTATCATAAATAAGTCTATCCTTCTTTATAATTAACACTTGGTAACATTAATCATCAATACATTAATTTAAAATTAGTATAAAAATACAACAGTCTATGACAGAATTGAAACTGCTGCATGACGCTGCTGTAAGCATTTCTATGTACTGAGCAGCATTACTGGGTAAAGTCACAAACACTTCCTCGTAACTGCAGAACTTTGTTTTACTTGCTGGTATTCTCTGCAGAGACCATGCAACCGCTGCAGAGATGTTCTACTGCTCCAGGCAAAGGGAGCATGATCTCAAGTGGAGCTGCTGATCTCAGTGTCCCTTATGAGGTACCTTACAAACAAGGCTAGAAAGACCTGTATGGCTGCAGTTGAAAGAGGTAAAAAAAACCAACCCACTCCTGGCTTAATCCTGATGTTAGAAGTACACCTTTTTTTGTATTTAGAAATACTGTGGGAGATGGGAAAACATATTATTAAAACTATGCCTTTGAAATAAGTTTAGTCTGGGCCCACAAATATCAGAATGGTGCAATTATAATGATTATTTCACAATTTTATTACACAGCAGATGAAAGCTGATGTTTCTGTGCCTTCACTGCACATCTTCATGCCTAGGCAAGTTAGGATTCTGTTAAATGGAATTTTGTTGCTGAAGGCACAAAGAAGAGGTGTCTGCACTGCCATTAATGTATACTGCTATCATCCATGGACAGAAAACCATCTAATACAACAAAACAAAGTTTCAAGTCCATACTCTTCCCTACTGTAATTTACCTGACTGCCTTAGCCATGCACGCAAGCTACATACATTTACCTGAAAACACAAATCTGAGTTTCCAGTATTGAGGCCACCACAGATATTTGGATAAGCATATGAAAAAAACCCCACCCCATTTTAGTGATCACAGTGTTGCAACTTTCTTAAATACCTCTTTTGCTTTGCAGTTAATGTAAGTTTTTCTATGTCACAGCTGAAAAATATAAGGTGATGAATTTGGCATAGAAGAGAGGAAAACATAAAGTGGACAAACAAAACAACATACAGTATAAAGAAGCAATTATGAAAAGTGATAAGCATATCCATAAAAGACATCGACTTCAGCTTCGTGCTATTATTTTTTTGCTTCTCACTTCTAATCAACAGCAATAGGTACTAACATCTACTTAGAAATGCAAGGAATGCTACAATACCTGAAGGTAATCTGGCACACGGACTAAACTGAAGTTAACATCAGTCCATTTTAGGATCTGCTAAGACTGGCCCATGTTCTAACTTGCAGCAGCAACTGCCTTTCATTTTCATGTCAGCTTTTTTTCTTTTTTTAATAGATTTTCTTCAAACTTCCTGGCACTACACTAGGACTTTGAGGACACTACACAAAAGGAAGAGTCAGAGCTCTTCATTCCTTTAGCTGTAGTTTTTTGTTTGCAAGACAACAAGTAGCTGTAACAGTGCCTCCTGTGTTCTTTTGTACTACTTTGGTAACAATGTGCCAGCTGAGCTGTAGTGGTTTTATTAGCATCTAGATGTGGAAGGAAGAGGCAGTAAGATACAACATAAAACCAATTATTGTCCCAGAAAAACTGAAATGGAAACTTTTAGTTTTGGAATTTAGCAGCTGTGATATAAAATACATACCTTTGTGTTACAGGGAATTTGCTAGGAAATTTTCATTTTGTTAATTACCAATAATAATTTTGCCATAGCACTAAAGCGCACTCTTTTCAAGTAGCTATTGGCATTTAAAAATCAGCTCCTCAGTTCTACGCTCTTTTACCTTGAACAATCAGCTTTGAGATCTGCTGAGATATACTTTGTACAGTTTTCTATAAAATTCCTAGTAACATGAAGACAGATCTCTCAGCATATTCAGTATCTTGGCAGTTAACAGCTGAATTCTTCTATTTATCACATAGTGATTTTGCCATATTTTGTTGCACAACAACCAAGACACTACCGTAGTGATCTCACTATGAAATTAATATTCCCAGTGTGTTAAAGGTGCAAAATGAATGTTTCATCTGCAGACAGACCACTGTCCTTTCCACTTTTAATCCATAGGCTGCACTTTGAAGACAAAGTCCTAAGAGATTTTGGAGGAGGTCAGAACCTCTGTCTTTCTTTTCATCTTGCACCACTGGTGCAATAATCCTGTGAAAAAAAGAGCTTAAAACAAAGGTCGGCCAGATTTGTCTGCACAAAACTCATTCAGAAGAGTTTATCTCACTAAAACAGTCAGAAAACAGTGGAGTAAACACTACTGGTAAAACTCAGGCTTACTCAAATTACCCGATTTCTCTTTGGTAGATTATGATCACGGAGAAGGCAGAGAAAAAAAAACAAACCAACCAACCAACCACCACCACCTTTCCTTTGCTGTTCTGGCACCCACTGGATCCAACTGCCTTACTTGGCTGATACTTCCATGTTACTTTAGGCTATGAAGCTCTTTGCTGGGAATCTGACTAACATCAGCACAGTGACTCAAGGAAATCAGTATAAGTTCTATGATTTCTTGTTTTGTAAGACTGGTACTATGACAGAGCTTGCACTATATCCAAGTCCTCTCCCAGTGGCAAAGACAGCAAGGGAAGAACAGGCACTTTGTGGAGGCTAAAACTGTCATCTTTCTAGAAGGCATCAGAAAGCTGCTATGCTTGATAGATTTGTCTCATGGTTTCTGTTCAAATACCCAAGGCTGAGTTTAAACTACGCTGTCAAGTGTAAACCTGTATTAAATCACCAGGGTTTTATACAGGACATGAAGAAAGCTGTGACAATTCAAATCTTGAAGTGTTCAACCTCATCGTATTTCTAACATCTTAGTCAGCTGGGTTTCAGACATAGCCTGAAGCAGAGGCTTGTGTCAAATCCATGATTAAAATCAATGTCTGTGATGATTTTGTTCTATTAACTGCCCAAGGACCCTGCTGCTTCTACTGTTTTGTAGGGATATCTGCAAACAGGATTAATCAGAGAGAGAATCACTGCAGTGGTTCTAGTCATGAAAAGCTGGAAGGTTCCAACAGGTCCTGTTCTGAATAATGCTTATGAGCCTCAGTGAGAAAACGCAGACAGCAGTGTGTTGCCAGGGCTGCTTCTGTTTTCAACATATCAGGTGCTGTGGTTGACAGAAAAATAACTCTTTTTAAAATAAATACTGAGACTAGATAAGTACGTATTGAGTGGCAACTACTAGAAAGAAAAAGCAAAAAATAAGCCTGGGGATGGTTGTCCATTATGAGTGAATGCTCAGTGTGTGATACAGGTTCACAATTAGGTTTATTAGAGCCAGATCAACATTTGGAAGATCAAACAGCAGCTGTAGTAGAAATTTTTTCCATCTGTCTCGGTTTCTTCTTCAATGTAGGGACCTTACAACGATCACTTACGCCTTTGTGCCTTTGTTACTTTGGGACTGTATGGCTGCCTGCACTCCACATGTGCCAGTTTAGGCACCACTTTAGGATCATTTGAAAAATTAAGGTAGCGCAGCATATAAGAACCTGACTTTTTTACTGAATGAAGCACTGATGATAAAACATTGACATTTCAGAGTCTCCATTGATTTCCAATGATTTTCTAAGATGTTTGCTTTAAGTTCTGGAAGCTACTCAGAGTGTTCACTAGTGGCCAGAGAGATTAAAGGTTGACAACAATTATCAAACAGAAACTAGCCTACCTGGGCCAGAAATTACTTCTGCCAGCTACTGGCCAACAAGCAGCAGATAAATGAAAGGTAGATGAAAGTGGCTATTTAAATCTTGGGTTTCATTACAGTGGTGTGATAGCCAGAACATTAAACGTTCTGTAAGGCTGGAGCAAGAAATAAAGGTTCCTTGAATTTACATGTTATAGCTGCCTATTAAACAAGTTCTCACTTGTTTTCCTTACAGCCTTTCAGAAGAGTAAGAAAAATG